TATTGTATGTTATTCATCTTTCCTCTACATAGACATAAGGTTTCCATTTGTCTTATTGACTTGAATTGAGTTCTTTATGCAAGTTGCCTTCATTAATGTTGCTTTCACAAGAACCAGATTTATATTTATGCAATCTATTTTTTCCATCTCAAATGTTATTTATACTTGTATACCATTTCCAGAGCCACCATACCTTACTTGTTCATTGGTGAGTCAATAAAAAAGGCAAGGATAACCACAATTTTCTGTAGACTGATCTGTGAGTTGCCTTTGTCAGGAAGTGGTGTGGTACTGCATTAAATTTAATCTTAGTTTCAGGGCCTTACATGTTAATAGTGCTCTTGGTCATCCCACCTCTGTTGGTGTATACATGGAAACTTGTCACAGCACAGAATCATTGCCAAAATGGGGGCTGTTGCTGGGAATGTAACCACCTGTACACTAAGAATTTTCTAGGAAGACAACCCCCTGTTTAAATGAGGCTAACCTGTATATAGTTTATGAACCTTTTTGGTGTTGGTTTTGGTCAGGGGAATGATCATTGTGGTGTTGGCTGTAGAGGACTTCTTTTGTATACTGTAGTAGTGCTTCATATTTGTTGTATTTCAGGCAAGTATTGAGAAAATTGTATGAGAACAAGAAGATCGCCAATGCCACTCACAACATGTACGCCTACCGCTTTACCCCCGAGGGATCCACCAATGTGAACCAAAACTGTGAAGATGATGGAGAAATTCATGCGGGAGGTCGCCTCCTGCACCTCCTCCAGGTAGGTAAACCCTTCTAGACTTTCTTTCCATCCTATCTCTTGTATGGTTTCTGACACGCAATATGTCACACAGCAAGCGACACGCATATCGCTTACGACAGTCAATATTATAAGTACCCGGTACCAGTCCTAATTGAGTGATTGACTGAGGGAACTCTTTTAACTAACTCATGCTGACTAAACTTTTGACCATTTCTTTGTTGTTCTTGTTCTCAGATCCTTGATGCCAAAGATGTGTTGGTGGTGGTGACAAGATGGTATGGCGGTATACACCTTGGGCCAGACAGGTTCAAGCATATCAACAATTCTGCACGACAAATTTTAGACTCTTGTGGTTATATCAGTACACACAGTGATAAAAATAAGAAAAATAAAAAAGTTAAATAGTAAATCTAAATGTATTACTTACCTTTAGAATAACTGAGTACAAGAATTACAAGGTAATTTATTGTCAATGATACAGATCCTAACTAAACAGAGCCTAATGAAGATAAGGGAGCCTTAGGCAACAGAACATCCCATACTTAATTACTGCAAAGAAAGGAGATGTATAAAGTGTATGATGAAAAACTGAAGAGGCAGAATTTATTCTGAGGAATCACAGGTAAAACAAAATGTGTTAGATAATGTTGTCAAGTTAGCAGATGTGAGAAATAAATTATCAAGTACTGGTAGAGCTTAGACGTGTAGAGTACTTACAGTAGTGGTTAGTTTGTCTGCCATCTTGATATACTTCATCTAATTTAACTTTCAAGCTAATGTTTATTGGCCAGCCAATCATAAGCTGGCATGGTGGTTACTTTATCGGCTGGCCAATCACAAGTTAGTAAGTCAGTTATTGTACTGACTAGCCAATCACAACTTAGTAAGTTAGTTATTGTACTCGCTAACCAATCACAAGGTAGTTACTGTACTAGCCAGCCAATCAGTGGTATTTACTGAACAATAACTGGATAATTACATGGTTGTTATTACCTGTATATCACATTTTATATTATAAATATTTTAGCTTAAAGATTCCTCGTGACTTTGTGTGATATATTGAAACTTTTAGGCAAGAATTTTAGTGTAAGGTCAAAATATAAATTTTTAGTTACGTTATTATTTTAGGTCATTCACAGTACAGTTGAGGGAGAATATAATTTTTATTTACTCAATACACTCATTACTTGTGGTCATAACTAGCTGTGTAGGCAGGCTAGAAAAATAACTTAAGTAAATTAAAACTGAAAAGAAGTAAGATTTGTTAATACTGTACTAATATTATCTACAGATTAATAATAATAGTAACTGATAATACTGTAATGGTAATACTGATACTATTATTATCATCATTATTATTACTGCTCACTAACACACAGTGATAGCATAAGACTTTATATAGCATGAGTTAGCTGTCAGAGAGTGAGGGCTATAACATATAGTATATTATTTAGCACCCGTACATAAGAGGTTTGTCCGTAACTGAGTTAAATACTGTACCGGTATTTATATATACTGTACACAAGTGGCTGAAAAAGTCTATAGGGAATGTTTCATTAATTTGTACTAGACTGATAGATTACTTTCAGGATAATAGTAATGTCAATATCTGCTTGTGAAAACTTTACAAGAATTTTCACTGGAAAAGACATCTATTTGAAACATACAATATGTTTCTGTTAATTAAATAATTCCCATATTATCCTAGTGTCTACCTCTACACAAAATCTCACCAATATTCTCAATACCCAACTGCCCTCTTAGCTCTGAACAGGGTTTCCATCTCTCAACATCACATTACACATCCATCATCTCATTCTCATTTCAGCTTGTACAATCCTACGTATGTCACCATCTTTAACCGCACATTTCAGTACTGTACCATAAAACATCACACTTCTCACTCCAGTTGCATACATCTTTCCTTTCACACAAAGAGAAGGTCTTCACCATCAAATAAAGGCAGCCGCTCCCTAAACTTCTTCCAGCCACTACCGAATCTTGTAACTGAGCAGCTTCAGCACCACCGCCAGCATTGATCACAAGGATATATTTATACCGACCCGGATGTTTTACGTAATTAACACAAAGCTGTTGTTGTTCCTTCAACCGGTACAGCATAAAATGGCTAATATAAAGTTACACTCACACTTACACAAAAAGATGGTAAGTTTTGTTAAAGAAATATTGGGCAATGCAGTTGAGCACTAAACCAACTGTGTTTTGGATGACATGAATCAACCAAATCTGAGTTATACACTCCTACTGTACTTGGTTATTAAGATAGGTTAGGGTATATCAGGCTAGGTTAGATTTACGCTAGTTCAGGTTCGGGTAAGTTATGTCTAAGTTAGGGTAGATTAGGCTAAGGTTGGCTAGACCAGGTTAGGTTCATGACAAAAAAAATAGTACTTTTGATGTTCAGTTTGTGATGTTGCTGGGCAGTTGATCATAAGTTTAAGATGTTATTGGGTAGTTGATGAAAGGCTTAGAACATTGGGATCTGGCAGAAGTAGTAGTCGAGCGTCCAGCAACTGGCATGCCTCCACGACCCTTCGGGGGTGATGGTGATGACTGCACAATCTAGGTCTTTCCTTGGCCAAAAACCATTCCAGTCCCAGTTAGTGTAGGAGAGGGATGAGCCTGTGTTGGGAAATGTACAGTATGGCGTTACAGTATTAGTTGAAATTCTTCCCGAGGGGTTGGGGGAGGGTGGGAGAGATGTGAAGTTCTAATATTAATTTTATTTATAATTTCTGTCACCTCTCAGTTTAATAGCCATTCGAGCAGTTAGTTTGTACTTTGTTACTTTATTATGATCTACAATAACCAGTGTTACTTCTACGGTGGGAGACAAGTGCACTATTATTGTGCCACTAACACCAATATTAATGTCATAATGAAATAATTATAAGAGTAAGATTTAAAACTGAATAATAACAATAATAATAGAAAGACTTTAGAATAGGTGAGAATACTACTGAAGGATAGATAATAACACTAAAGGATAGATACAAGTTGAATTAATTAGAATCCACAAAGCATCAACATTTATAAGGACTTACCATCAGCGTATTTCCAGTCGCCCTCAGATTCTAAGTCGGAGACACCGATGATGGCGGTCCATATATTGTGTTTCACCATCATGTTGTACAGCATATTGTTCAGTTTTTTATTCTGTAGGGTAAATAGGTAGATAAACAGATTCAGTATATAAAAGTTTACATTGATTCAGCACGTGCACAGACAATGAAGGTACACATTACAGTATATATGCTCAGTGCAGAGATAACACTGTATTGTCCAAGTTATTTAAAATCGTTTTCTTACAGGTGAATAGTACTTTAGTAACGCCACCTTTAGTATTTAATTTGGCTCATGTCAGACGTTTTATTCAGCACACAAGGGATTAAGCTAAGGAAAGGAAACACTAAGGACAAAGTTTCCCTTTTCCTTCCCAAGCTTGTCATGGTATTGACTGATACTGTATATAGATGATTGTAGCCCCCTTTCTTCAGTAGTACCTCCTTACTAATACCAAGTATAGGTACCTCCTGATGCCTACCAAGTACCTCCTGATTACTACCTCCAAAAAGACAGAGAACTTTTAATTGTTTTGATCTTAAAAGAGCCGTAGTAACCCCTAACTCACATTGACGGAGACTAGGTGACCACCATCTTGAGCACATATCTTAGAGGCAATGACGGGGGTCTGGCGTTCAATCATAAGTTTGATGTAATCTGTCCCATAGACGTAGTAGCCGTCCTCCTCAGCTGCCGGGGAGAGAGTTCAAGATTACTGGTGAGGTGAAGGGGTGAGAGGGGAGGAAGGAGACAGTTACAAAGTTAGGAGGGTGAGAGGGAGGAAGGGAGGAGATAATTATTCTTTCTCGACTACCAACATCCACCATCAATTATACTACTGCTACAACCATTAAAATAACTACAATTACCACCACAATCCCCAAAAATTAAGCAACTAAAGCAACAATCACAAACAGTCACACTTAAATACAGCATTGTAACCTACTACTACTACTACTACAGTACCACAACAACCAGTAGTACAATGATTTACTTCTCTTCAGGATGTACAAGTTGTAACCATTGTACTGTACAGGTTTGGTTCCTCCAGGCTTGACATTGTACAGTACACATTTCTTCTCTAGGATGTTGATGGCATATCCATTACACTCCAAGTTCTGTCAATAGGTCAAACATCAACTTGGGTCATAGAGTTTATCGCTGTATGGGGCAAATCTGAATCTGAAACCTTTGTCGGCTATCCTTGGTCAAATTACCTTACTGTTTACTATTTTTGTATAACCCGCACTATCTAGGTACATTGGAAACTGTATACCCGTACTTCCATGGTAAACCTGCATTGTCTATTCATATGCTAAACCAATTGTATACCTGGATGATGATTTTCCTGAATTATTATTATTACTGTATTATTATTATTATTATTATTAAACTCCCTTAAATGTATCAACTCCCTTAAATATATAAACACCCTTAAATGCTACAACTAAATCTTCGATACCTAAGGGGACATTGAGGTCGGCACTGCACTCGACCAGCCTCACTTCCCAACCGTAAAGTCAAAGGTGCTCTAATGGCTCCAATATGAGAGATAAAACTTAAAAATATCCTTGAGAATTAGGTCCTTGAGAGTCATAAAATATAAGTAATTTATTTAAGTACTGACGTTTGTAAATTAGTAATGAGGTGATTAATGTTGGCTATTGAAGGGGATGCCAGAGTTAAAAATAATGAATAAATTAAGAGAAACACAGAAAAGTAAGTAATAATTATGTATTTATCAAGAGAGAGACAGACAGACACAATGAGAAAAAGAAAGAGAGATAGAGAGAGAGATAATTAACATCCATCTCAGAATGTTAAACGTTGTACATTACTTACGCCTACTAAGAGAATAATATCCACCTTAGAGCAGACACTCTCGCACTCCGTCTTGGTACTGATGGCGGTGAAGGAGGCGATAATCCCTGTAGGGAGCCACTTGTCGGTGATGGAACCGGTGGTGAAGAAGGTACCTGGCTTGGCCCTCACTGTGTGCCCCTGTAGGATACCCATCACCACGAGGGCTGGAAGGATCCACCTCCCTAACATCCTACAGAAGAAGGTCCTTTTCGATGTTTCTATGGTTCTAGTCGAGTCCAAGAGTCCTGCAGGATATATGATGAAAGGTTTTAAGGGGATCTTATGAGGATAACAGGAAAGAACTCCTCAACCAACATCCTACAGCAGGAAGTCGTACTCCTACTCAAACCCAAAAGTCCTTCTACAGTCGTTTGTAACTCTCTGTACCATACTAGACCGTTTGTAACTTTATAAAGGTGAGTGGAGGATACAAAGAATACGTCAGCAGTTCCTTATGAAAGAGAGAAGGAAAGTTTCTAAGGATACAGAAACAGAAACAAAAGGACCTGTAGCTTTATAAGGAAGGTAAAGAGGCTTATATAAAGGTTTTAAATTTTAGTTATGCATCATATTACTATAGAGAGTTTATATAAGTAATTGTAGCCTTCATTTAAATAACGATTATGTGTGTATGTACAGGTATATGTGTGTGTGTGTTTGTGTGTGTGCGTGTGGCAATGGCTCGTGTTATGACTGTACGGGCCTCAGTGTAGTCATGACGTTATTGACTAAGTTTTCTTACTCCCCACCTCCTTACAGCCTAACCCCCCCCACTCCCCAATCCCTACACCCCACCTCCCCAATTCCCCACACCTTTTCCTCCCTAACAGAATCCCAACTCCCCACACTACCACAATCCCCACCTCCCCCATCTGTCTTCCAGCGTCTCCTCCCCACCACCACTCTCGCCTCCCCTTTCTTCCTCTTCTTCTCCCTTCCCTCCCACCTCCATCCTTTCCTCAGCTTTTCCTTCCTTGCCTCTTCTCCTTTATCTTCCTTTACTCCCCTTTCCCTTCTCTTCTCTCTATGTGTGTGTGTGTGTGTGTGTGTGTGTGTGTGTGTGTGTGTGTGTGTGTGTGTGTGTGTGTGTGTGTGTGTGTGTGTGTTACAACTTCCTCTCAAACTCAGGAAAAAAGACTTAAACCTTACCCAACTTTCGTAGTTTCGCGGATTGAGGTGATTATCCGGGGGGTGCAGCTGGTCCTGGAGGCAGCTGGTTACATGTGGCAGATGGTGAGACACAGATGGTCCCCAAGGTAATCCAAGAGACAGATGGTTACAAAAACACAGGGAGAATGAGGGTCACTTGAAAGCTGGTGAATCTCCAAAACAGATGGTCCAGGAGGCCAGATGGTCTTGTAGGCCAGATGACAAACCCAGATGGTCCCGGAACTCACTCGAAGAATCCAGATGGTCTTGACAGGTGGTGGAACAGGTGGTGGTGCACGTACTACAGCTGGCCCGGTACTGGTGGTCAGGAGAGGTGAGGGGAGGTGAAATGCAAGAACACTCCTCGCTCTCCCTACCGTGTCTCGCTCAAGTGTACCTCACCGGCCTAGTATATCGGGTAGACCTCCTTCATATCGACTAGTATAATAGATAATGCGTCCTTTGCATGTATGTATGTATGTATGTATGTATTTTCATGTGTGCATATATATGGTATACATAGTTTCCCGTTTATGAATGATTACACATACAGCATGTATTAATGAAAATACCAACACATCTAAATAAAATCATACACGCATACAGGGATCTTACCAATATAAATTATACAACAAGAACCTATACAAGACACTTATATCAGTTTACATATATAATTCCTTACATACAATACAACAGAGACATGATGAAGACGTCTAGAGGTAGATCAGAGGCGGCCACGGTCTCCCAAGCGTCGCTAACAACACAGGGCCGTGTTTGGGTACGTCACGAGACACCTATGTGGTTGTCACCCAGATTGATAAAGGTTTCACACGCAACAGGGATCGATAGAGCATTAATCTAAACAAACACGATTAAATTTTATGTTATTTTCTTTTTATTGTGATGATTATCTCCTTAAGGCAGAAAATATTGTCAAAAATAATAATACGTCAAAACTGTATTTTTGGTCTCAGTAAATGAATATGATTATTATTCATATTTAATATCTATGCATGAACTGGATCTATTTATAGGCAATACAGGTATAAAATATACATCGATAATACAGGTATATAAACAATACAGTACATTACAAACCTATACACATCTCTATGAAAATATTGAATCACTATGAATTTATATAATTTTTTCTACCGAATAAAATCTATTTATATATACTATCACAGAGCTACAAAGGGTTCCCGTAATGTACACACGGTGGAGAATGTACACAGAGTTACGTACACAGGTATTGGGGTCATTGTTGGTGTACATTTCACACAAGGTAAACCAACATGGCGGCCCATGACGTCATAACTCTACAGGTACTCATGACGTCATAACTATAGATACTAATGACGTCATAACTCTACAGGTACTCATGACGTCATAACTATAGATACTAATGACGTCATAACCCTAGATATTTGAACAGTAAACAGATCCAGTCTTATTTATCTACATTTAAGGGAAAATTATATATTATAATAATCTTGAGAATTTAAGTTTTCAGAATCATAAAAAAAATCGTAATATGGAAAGATTCTATTCATTAATACTTTAAGGAGTCGTGTTGTACTAAGGTATTTTGTTCTGGTTAGGTTAATGTTAGGTTAGGTTAGGTTAGGTTAGGTTAGGTTAATGTTAGGTTAGGTTAATGTTAGGTTAGGTTAGGTTAGGTTAGGTCATCAGCCAACCATTTACTTCGTTGTACTGAATTTTGTATTGATACCAGCAATAGTCGCCCCTCAAGTGTGCCTCGTATAAAAACTGTTTTGTTGTTGTGTTGAGAGGGAGGTGTGGGGTGTTGTGAGTTTTGTTCATGGTGAAGTTGGTAAGTATGTTGGGGAGGGAGGGAGGGAGGGAGGGAGGGAGGGAGGGAGATTGTTATTCATGCCGTAAAAAAATCAGTTAATTTCTTTCTTTAAAAATTATTACTTAAGAAAAACGAAAGTATGTTTTTAATTCATAGAATATATCGCCGAATAAACAACTCCCTAAAATAAAATAATAATGTTAATAAATCAAGTCTTCACATTAGGACGCGCCTCGCAGGTCGGTAAACAACAAAACTGACCTAGTGAATAGCGCGTTTTAGGAAAAGGGAACTTGGATTTTCTACCTTTGAATCACGTTCTCACGACCTGCTTTGTTTCGCAACGGGAGTGTGGCGGACACGACTGAGTCACTGAGAAGTGACAGAGTCTGGGTACTCACTCGTCGATGACTAGTACATCCGGTTTCCCTCACACACCCTGGGAACGGATATCAAACTTGAGGATAAACTCCATTGAGTCACTGTCAAGCTGTTGATTTGTTTGTTGACATAATAAATATACACAGCGATGGACCCATTTGATGGCCCCCACCTGGCGTTTACTAATCAAACAAGATATATTATAACTAAAGCCAAACTATATGCTGGTGTAAATTGCTTGTAAATGCCTGCATTGGCTATAATTGAGTGCTTGGATACAGAGTGAAGGTTTTCAACTGTTGGGCGGCAGGTTTTTCTTTTACTTTTATCCTCTTCGCCAACATAAGAAGACAACTAGATCATTTTTATTTAGTTAGTAAGAAAATTTTCCTAAATGGCGGCAAACTTGAGAGTATAACTTAGGCGACCACAAGATAAACTCACCAGCAACACCATAAGTACATGTGGATTATCAGGTGACATGTGGTCAGTGACGCCCCTGTAGCGTCAGGTTAGGTTAGTTAGTGTTAATCCTAAGGTGAAATAAGCTGTGGTGATAATCTTCATGTGGACTGAGATAAGAGTCATTGTAATTATCACTGCCAGGTAGACACAGTGTTCTTCAAATATGTCTGTCTGTGTGGGGGAGACAAGGTGTTGCGTTCCTCGATGTGCTTAACTGTGTGTATAGAGACTCAACCTTCGTGACTTGTTTCACACGGCAGGTCTTGTGTGGCTCAAGAGACGATGTTCATTCATTCTCATCCTGTGAGAGAAGTTTCAAACCTAAATCTGAACAAAGTAACATAATGAACAAAGATTAGGTTATCAACTTAAACATTATATCCACAAAAAACTCTGAATTTACTAAAGTCTCCCCAAGAAATGTCATAACAATAGAAAATCGAACATAAATTTGAGGAGTAACTATAACATAACAGCAAAACTTTACCGACTTATATGTAAATCACTCTGGTAAAAGTCGCTTTAGTGTATAGTCTTGGTTAAAAACTTTAATCCTTTAGAAGCCAAAAAATAGGTGATTGTCAGAGGAATTTACAAAGTTATTGAATTTACAACGAAGAGATTTTACAGTTTTGAATTACAATAGAAAAAAACTAGTAACTGGACTTAGACTTTAGTGAAATAAAATTATACTAAAAATGAATAGACTTTTAGATAGACATATTTACCTACCCTAAACAAACACTACATTACTGATTTTTCACTCCACACATTGATATAAACACAAATTTGTTCAACCGCTACAGTTTACATGGCATACATTACAGACAAATATTTAATCAGTAAAACCGTCGTAAAAGCTCTCATTGGTTCAGTATGTATGTCAACAACTAAACAATGGCAGGTAGTTAAGGGTGATTCAGGCATTAACGACAGCTCAAGTGAACCCCTAGCCAAGTTTGTTTAAGTTGGGGGGGGGGGTTCTAGTTTGTCATGGGGTGAGAGAGAGAGAGTGTGAGAAGGAGGAGAAGACGAAGGAAAGAGAAGAAGAGGGAAAAGGAGAAGAGGGAGGAGACATTAATGAAGACAGGGCAACAGGAAGGAGACATAGAACATATTAAATAAAGGACAAAAAGGAGAGAATGGAAGAAAGGAGAAAGGGAAGAGGAGGAGAAGAAGAGAGGAAGGGAGAAATGGTTGATAGAGAGCTGGGAGGGAGTGGCCCTGTATGGTGTGTGTGGAGAGTGGGCCACTGCCCTATATAGCAAATGCCAAAGGGAAGAGTGTATATGACATTTCTTAAAAGTGGCGAGGAATTGGGGTAACTATTAAACGTGTTTCCTGTGTGCGTGTGTGTGTGTGTGTGTGTGTGTGTGTGTGTGTGTGTGTGTGTGTGTGTGTGTGTGTGTGTGTGTGTGTGTGTTTTACTCGTGGGGATATCAAGGTGTATTGAGGTAACTGGGTGTAGTTTTAGATTAAGAGATAATGTTTCAAATTATATTATTAATATTATTATTATTAGTGGTAGTAGTAGTAGCAGCAGCAGCAGCAGCAGCAGCAGCAGCAGCAGCAGCAGCAGTAGTAGTAGCAGCAGTAGTAGTAGTAGTAGTAGTAGCAGTAATAGTATTGTTGTTGTTGTTGTATTCCTTTCCTTTACCTCTTTCTCTCTCCTCTCTTTCCCACTACATCTCTCATTTGTGTTTCTTAGCTCTTCCCATCCCTCTCACCTTCCTCCTTCTTTCCTCTCAATCTCCTCCTCCCTCTCTCCTTCACCCCTGACATTCAAACCTCTCAAAATTCTTCCATTATCACAAATAAGAGAGAGAGAGAGAGAGAGAGAGAGAGAGAGAGAGTTAGGTCGAAGGTCAAGACTTATTAGCAAAGTTAACAGCCATCGACCATTAAGCTGACACCATCGACCACCAATCTACAGCACCGTTAGCCAATCAGAGCCACTATTCGCCAATCTGATTCCCTCATTCGCCGACCGATACCTGTCACCCCTAAACAACAGAGATTCCTGTTATTTCTGGCCATGACATACATACTGTACACACACCAGAGGTCGCGGGGGGTCGCGGGAAATTTCACCGTCTGGTAATGTTTTGACATAGTGGACGTGCGTGTGAAAAGGTGCAGTACAGTTTGTCAGGATTACCCGATAGTTACACCTGCTGTCTTCATCTTTATCTCTTTCTTTGTCTTAGTCTCCTGTTCTTTGTCTCTCTTTATTTCTCCTTCTCTTCAAACTCCAAATTTATCAGTTAGTTACACATTTCATCAAATACTTTATCCCCGACATAAACTCAAACGCTGGTGAGAAGAAGTTATTTTGGTTATTAATGTGACGTAATAAAATTTCCAAGTGATGTCATCGATTTGTCGCTTCGTGAGTGGTCGCGTGTGGTAGTTGGGAAGCTTCAAAGATAAAGAACTTGTGCGGTATATCCAATGAGACACGCGTATCCTGCCGTCTGTCCTGTGACGTAGTCGGCTCTGAGTTGTTTGGGGAATTTTAGGGAATAGGAAAATTAATGAATGGTATAGAGCAATAATCTATGAAGGATTTTCTGCGATCAACTTAAAATTCCTTAAATTGCAGGGGAGGGAGGGGTCTTTTTTAAGGATTTATATGACGTCACTGTTACGTCCTGGTGAGGAATACTGGTAACGTAAACAAATGCTGTTATAGTCAGAGAGAGATCGTTATGTAAT